TTATGAAGTTTAGGGTTTTTTTTTGTGTGTGTGAAAAATGACATTGGTATTTTGATAGGCATTGCATTGTATCTATAGATTGCTTTGGGCAGTATGGTCATTTTAATGATATTAATTCTTCTGATCCATCAGCATGGGAACTTTTTCTATTTGTTTGTGTTAAGTGTAGTTTCTTTCATTGATGTTTCGTAGTTTTCCCAGTAGAGATATTTTACCTCCTTGGTTAATTATATTTCTAGGTATTTCATTGTTTTTGTAGCTATTGTAAATAGGACTAATGTCTGATTCTCACCTAAATCATTATTGATGTATAGAAATGCTACTGATTTTTACACATTGATTTTGTGTCCTGAAATTTTACTGAATTTATTTATCAAATCTAATAGTGTTTTTGGTGGTCTTCAGATTTTTCTAGCTATAAGATTTTATTATCAGTGAATAGGGATAATTCGATACCCTCTTTACGAATTTGGTTGCTTCTTTAAAACAAACAAACAAACAAAACCACCTTTTTTTTTTTTTTTTTTTGCCTAATTGCTCTGGTTAGGACTTCTGGTGATAGTGGGCATCCTTCTCTTGTTCCAGTTCTTAGAGGAAAGACTTTCAACTTTTCCCCATTCAGTATAACCTTGGCTGTTGGATTGTTGTATTATGGCTTTATTATTTTTACATATGTTTCTTTCTTTTTTTTTTTTTTTTTTTTGAGACGGAGTTTCGCTCTTGTTACCCAGACTGGAGTGCAATGGCGCGATCTCGGCTCACCGCAGCCTCCGCCTCCTGGGTTCAGGCAATTCTCCTGCCCCAGCCTCCTGAGTCGCTGGGATTACAGGCACGCGCCACCATGCCCAGCTAATTTTTTGTATTTTTAGTAGAGACGGGGTTTCACCATGTTGACCAGGATGGTCTCGATCTCTTGACCTCGTGATCCACCCGCCTCGGCCTCCCACAGTGCTGGGATTACAGGCTTGAGCCACTGCGCCCGGCCCATATGTTTCTTCAATACTTAGTTTTAATTGAGGATTTTTATCGTGAAGAGATGCTGAATTTTAAGTGCTTTTTTTCTGCATCTATTGAGATAATCATATGTTTTTTGTTCATGATTCAGTTTATGTGATGTATCACATTTATTGATTTTTATATGTTGAACCATCCTTGCATCCCTGGTATAAAACCCACTTGGTCATGTGTATTATCTTCTTGATGTGCTATTGGTGTTTGCTAGTATTTTGTTGAAAATTGTTTTTATGTTCATCAGGGATCTTGGTCTGTAGTTTTATTTCTTTGTTTTTTCTGGTTTTAGTAACTGAGTGATATTGACCTTATAGAATGAATTAGGGAGAATTCCCTTTTTCTTGATGTTTTGGAACAGTTTCAAGATTGATATTAGTTCTTCTTTATATGTTTGGTGGAATTTGTCTATGAATTTATCTGGTCATGGGCTTTTCTTTGTTGGAACACTTTTTTTTTTTTTTTCCTGATTCAGTCTTTGTACTCATTATTGGTCTGTTCAGGTTTTCTATTTCTACCTGGTTCAATATTGGGGAGCTTTGTGTTTCAAAGAACTTATCCATTTCCTATAGATTTTCTATTTTGTGAGTGAGTAGTTTTTTAATAATAGTCTCTGATGATATTTTGCATTCCTGTGGTTGTAATGCCTTTTTTTTTTTCACTTCTAAATTGTTTATTTAGAGCTCATGTTTCCTTTGTTAGTCTATGAGTGGTTTATCAATTTTGTTTTTCTCCTCAAATAACCAGCTTTTCCTTTTGTTGATCCTTTAAATTGTTTTGTTGGTCTCTATTTCATTTAGTTCTGCTCTGATCTTTCTTTTTAATTTCTTTTCTGTTCCTAACTTTGGGTTTGGTTTTGTCATGCTTTTCTTGTTCCTTGAGGTACAACATTAGGTTGTTAATTTGTGACCTTCCTAGTTTTTTTTTTTTTTTTTTTTTTTTTGATATAGGTGTTTAATGGCATAAACTTAACACTACTTAACACTACTTTTCCCTCTTAACACTACTTTTACTGTATCCCGCAGGCTTTACTATGTTGTGTTATCACCTTCATTTATTTCAAAAATTTTAAAATTTCTCTTGAACCCAGTTCAATTACACTTCTAGAGCACTTATTAATGTGCCAGTTGCTGTAAGAAGAAATTTACTTTGTGAACTTATTTAAGCCCATTTCAGGAATGGGGAAAATGCAGCACAGAGGTGAGCAACTCACTAGAGTTGCTCCTTTGGTGAGAAGTGGCTGGGCTAGGGTCAGGGTTAAGCCTGGCTCTGGGTCACCTGGTCTTGGCCATTGCTTTCTATGGCCTCTTCGCTGAGCTCATTAGACAAGAAACACATGATTGTGAGGGAAATGTTCATGGTGTATATTGGGGTAGACATAGCAGGATATGCACCTCTGCTTTGTTAAAAGAAAAAAAGACCTTTGCATATGCAGAGAAAATGTGCAGTACATGTGCCACAGTACATGTGCCACATTACTTTCCATGGTTGTCATTGAATGGAAGGATTATGAGTGCTTTGATGATTTTTTTCTTTGTGTTTTTTTTTAAATAGTAAAAGAAGAATGTGAAAATTTTAAAAATAATGTAAAAGAAAGAAAATATATGACAAATGTTTATGACATTTTTACAAAGATTTAGTCTTCTCAGTAGTACAGTATAGTTCAGGTTATTTTCTACTGCCCTATATTACCATCTACAGAATTTTTCTAGACAGAATTATCTTGGCTGTTGTGACAGTGCACTCCAGCCTGGGTGACACAGCAAGACTCCATCTCAAAAAAAAAAAAAAATTATCTTGACTGGGTACAGTGGCTCACACCTGTAATCCTAGCACTTTGGGAGGCCAAGACCGGTGGATAATCTGAAGTCAGGAGTTTGAGACCAGCCTGGCCAACATGATGAGACCCCATCTCTACTATGAATACAAAAATTTGCTGGGTGTGGTAATCTCAGCTGCTCTGGAGGCTGAGGCAGGAGAGTCACTTGAACCCCAGAGGCGGAGGTTGCAGTGAACTGGGATCATGCCATGGTACTGCAGCCTGGGTGACTGTAGAATTCTTGTAGTATAAATTCAAAAAGAATTTATATTCTTTGTAGAATGTAAATTCTACAAAGAATTTATATTCTCTCTAAATTCTTTGTAGAATTTATACTACATAGGACATAATGGGTAGTCAATAAATAAAATACTGAACTTGACACACAAATTAAGATATTACATAGACATGGCATTTTTATCACAACTGTGTAGAACCATTTCATGCTTAAATAGCTTTGTTCTTCAAACAAGTGTTTTAAGGCAGTAGCTGCATTCAATATGATTCTAGATGATAGATGTGGTTGTGGGGATGTGTTTTCAGCTGAACTGCTGCACACGTGGAGCCAGATCAGCCCTGCTCAGAGACAGCTCTGTGGTTGTGCAGCTCCATTGCTGTATTGTATACTGAAGTGGACACTGCTTTACTGCACAGGGCTTCTTTTCATTGAAATTTGGATAATGAATATTTAAAGATTTCGACTTGTAATCTTCAGAGGATTTGGACAGAAGCGTTTTAAGATCCAGAAGACTTAGGGTGAGCCTCTACTGTGACATCTAGAACTACAGATACCATATGGAAAACAAGTTAATAAAAAATATTTAGCTAAACTATCTTAATTTATTTTCCTAAGATTGTTTTGAAAATATAAATCATTCCTGTAAATATAAAGTATTCAATCAGTGTATTCCTTGTAGGTGGTCAACAGAAATTACTTTTTTAAGGGAATAAAAACATATATTTATTCTAAAAAGTGAAATTGTTATGAAATTGCTTATGTAGAACTAATTGATTACTGTTTCTGCCAGTGCTATTTTATTTTACAGCCAATTTTATGTCAGTAAAAGCCATTACTAGATATGTAAAGGTTACATATCTTTATGTGAACAGGCTTCTAGCATTCCAAAATTAGATAGTTTAGGCAGTTACATTGTTATCAACAGTCATATGCTTTATTTACAGATTGTTTGTCACATATATTGTTAACTTTATATATTTATATGAAACGTAAATTATTTTATATACAAATAAAATTCTGTTTAAGCAAAAAAGTATATATTTCCTGATAATTATGATCACTACATAGATAATATACATAACAATATAACAAGCTGATATGGATTTTTATGTGTATGTGCATGCACATATACCTATTCACAGGGATACAATTAGCAGAGTGTCTTTGCTCTGCTCTTTCATCACTTTAATCACTAAAACAAATACAAAAGCACATCCTTTGTATTTGTATTTTGTGTTTGTATTTTGTATTTGCATTGGTATTATATTTGTATTTTGTATTTGCATTTGCATTTGTATTGTATTTGTATTTTGTATTTGCATTTGTATTGTATTATATTTGTGTCGTATTGTATTTGTATTTTGTATAGTTACCTGTGTGCTGTGTGACTTTGCCGCCACTCAGGGCACCTTGAGCAGGGACCCTGCAGGGCATCTTTGTGGTCCCCAGCCCTGTGCTGGTCAAGGCTTATGGAGGCGTCTTAGGAAGGCTCTGGTCATCCCCAAAAGGTGTTGGAGATTCTCTCCATAATTAATAAGAATTCCTTGACATTTTTTTACAGTAAACAAATTTCATTTCATGCTTTTTAAATAGCTGTGAAACCTAACCACCCTTCATAGAATGCTTTGCCTCCCAAAGATCTTGCAATAATTTATCTAAATAATTTACTATTTTACAAGATTTGTTAGGTTTGTTCTGATATTTAAAAAATTTCCAGAATATGATTACATTTAATATTTATCATATATAAAAGTTTATTTATTGTTTTGTCATCTTTGGGATTTGTGATTTTGAATAGTGTTTGAATTATTTTTAAATATCTCTAGAGAGACACATTAACCATTTAATAATTTTCACATATAAAATATTCTTTCATTATTCATTTTTGCCTTTTTGTGACGAAAATTTCTCTTGGTGTTTCTTTCCTCCCCATAGGTGTGAGCGCCACTTTGAAGGGCATCCAAACCGCGGTTATCCATGTGGAATAGCTTACAGTCCTTGTGGACGATTCGCGGCTTGTGGGGCCGAGGACAGACACGTATGTGCTATTTGAGAGTCTATAAATGCAGAGATTCTAGACTTTGTTAATGTCTAGACTGTTTAGTATTGTTACATATTAGGATAGAAGCCTACTTTAAGATTGACTGTTGGTCAATATTTTAAGACTTATACATAATAGCATTTTAATAATGCGTAAGATATGAAAGATGTTTTTATTGAAGCATGATAAATAGTAGTCACTCATGAATTCATTATTAATCATTTCACAGATACTTGTTGAGTGCCCACTATTTGAAAGACATTGTGCTACATGTTGTAGTTTCTTTTTATTAAAAGATGATAATATTAATTAGTGAAACACCAGATCCTGTGTATTCAATGGTGTGATCCTTTCCTAAGTTAGATCCTTAGGAAACAATGTGCTTATATTAATGAAATTGCTCCCTACTCTCCTCCCACGTTACACATTATGCGCATACGCCTCATAGTGGATTTGGAGCAGGTACTAATGCACATCCATTTGTCCATAATACATTTTAAAAGGCCTGTATTAACTTCCTAGGGATGCCACAAACTACTACAAACTTGGAAGCTTAACCCTTTTCACGTTTGCCCCAGGAATACTCACTGGTGGCCTTGCAGCTGCAGCATTCACCTCAAAATCATGTCACCACAAAATACCTTGCTTTTATTATTATTTTTTCATGGCACTGGTAACTGTGCCATTAACTGTCTTTTGTTTCCATGACTTTGGAAACAAAGACGCCATTCTGTCTATAGCATTCTGTTTTTAGTAGTGGTATTATCATTTACAAAATATAGTAATTCTTGATTGCTGAAAATGCAAAATTCTAGAAAATGTAGCATTTCTTTTCTTTTTTTAATTGCATTTTAGGTTTTGGGGTACATGTGAAGAACATGCAAGATTGTTGCATAGGTACACACATGGCAGTGTGATTTGCTGCCTTCCTCCCCATCACCTATATCTGGCATTTCTCCCCACGCTATCTCTCCCCAGCTCCCCACCCCCGACTGTCCCTCCCTTATTACGCCCAGCAGACCCCAGTGTGTGGTGCTCCCCTCCCTGTGTCCATGTGTTCTTATCGTTCAACACCCACCTATGAGTGAGAACATGCAGTGTTTGATTTTCTGTTCTTGTATCTGTTTGCTGAGAATGGTGGTTTCCAGAGTCATCCAAACATGAACTCATCGTTTTTGATGGCTGCATAATATTCCATGGTGTATATGTGCCACATTTTCCCTATCCAGTCTATCGTCGATGGGCATTTGGGTTGGTTCCAGGTCTTTGCTATTGTAAACAGTGCTGCAATGAACATTCGTGTGCATGTGTCCTTATAGTAGAACAATTTATAATCCTTTGGATATATACCAAGTAATGGGATTGCTGGGTCAAATGGAATTTCTATGTCTAGGTCCTAAAGGAATCGCCACACTGTCTTCCACAATGGTTGAACTAATTTACACTCCCACCAGCAGTATAAAAGTGTTCCTATTTTTCCACATCCTCTCCAGCATCTGTTTTCTCCAGATTTTTTAATGATCGCCATTCTAACTGGCATGAGATGGTATCTCAATGTAGTTTTGATTTGCATTTCTCTAATGACCAGTGATGATAAGCATTTTTTCATATGTTTGTTGGCCTCATGTATGTCTTCTTTTGTAAAGTGTGTGTTCATATCCTTCACCCACTTTTGAATGGGCTTGCTTGTTTTTTTCTTGTAGATCTGTTTTAGTTCTTTGTAGATTCTGGATATCAGCCCTTTGTCAGATGGGTAGATTGCAAACATTTTTTCCCATTCTGTTGGTTGCCCATTCACTCTTATGACTGTTTCTTTTGCCATGCAGAAGCTGTGGAGTTTGATTAGGTCCCATTTGTCTATTTTGGCTTTTGTTGCCAATGCTTTTGGTGTTTTGGTCATGAAGTCCTTGCCTACGCCTATGTCCTGAATGGTTTTGCCTAGATTTTCTTCTAGGGTTTTTATGGTGTTAGGTCTTATGTTTAAGTCTTTAATCCATCTGGAGTTAATTTTAGTGTAAGGTGTCAGGAAGGGGTCCAGTTTCTGCTTTCCGTACATGGCTAGCCAGTTTTCTCAACACCATTTATTAAACAGGGAATCCTTTCCCCATTGCTTGTTTTTTTCAGGTTTGTCAAAGATCAGATGGTTGTAGATGTGTGGTGTTGCCTCCAAGGCCTCTGTTCTGTTCCATTGGTCTATATGTCTGTTTTGGTACCAGTACCATGCTGTTTTGATTACTGTAGCCTTGTGGTATATTTTGAAGTCTGGAAGCGTGATGTGTCCCACTTTGTTCTTTTTGCTTAGAATTGAGTTGGCTATGTGGACTCTCTTTTCGTTCCATATGAAGTTTAAGGTGCTTTTTCCAGTTCTGTGAAGAAGGTGATTGGTAGCTTGATGGGGATAGCGTAGAATCTGTAAATTACTTTGGGCAGTATGGCCATTTTAACGATACTGATTCTTCCTAACCACAAGCATGGAATGCTTTTCCATCTGTTTGTGTCCTCTCTTATTTCGTTGAGCAGTGGTTTGTAGTTCTCTTTGAAGAGGTCTTTTATATCCTTTGTTAGTTGTATTCCTAGGTATTTTATTCCCTTTGTAGCAATTGTGAATGTCAGTTAGTTCTTGATGTGGCTCTCTTTAAGTCTGTTATTGGCATATAGCAATGCTTATGATTTTTGTACATTGATTTTGTATCCTGAGACTTTGCTGAAGTTGCTCATCAGTTTCAGGAGATATTGGGCTGAGATGATGGGGTCATCTAGATATATAATCATGTCGTCTGCAAACAGAGACAATCTGACTTCCTACTTTCCTATTTGAATACCCTTTATTTCTTTTTCTTGCCTGATTGCTCTGGATTGAACTTCCAATACTATATTGAATAGGAGTGGTGAGAGAGGGCATCCTTGTCTAGTGCCAGATTTCAAAGGGAATGCTTCCAGTTTTTGCCCATTCAGTGTGATATTGGCTGTTGGTTTGTCATAAATAGCTTTTATTATTTTCAGGTATGTTCCGCCAATACCTAGTTTATTGAGGGTTTTTAGCATAAAGGGCTGTTGAATTTTGTCAAAGGCCTTCATCAATTGAGATAATCATGTGGTTTTTGTCTTTGGTTCTGTTTAAGTAGTGTATTACGTTTATAGACTTGCGTATGTTGAACCAGCCTTGCATCCCCGGGATGAAGCCTGCTTGATCATGATGGATAAGCTTTTTGATGTGCTGTTGCAGTCAGTTTGCCAGTATTTTATTGAAGATTTTTGGATCTATGTTCATCATGGATATTGGCCTGAAGTTTTCTTTTCTTGATGAGTCGCTGCCATGTTTTGGTATCAGGATGATGTTGTTCTCATAAAATGATTTGGGAAGGATACCCTCTTTTTGGATTATTTGGAATAGTTTCAGAAGGAATGGTACCAGCTCCTCTTTGTATGTCTGGTAGAATTCAGCTGTGAACCCATCTGGACCTGGGCTTTTTTTGGGTGGCAGGCTCTTAATTGCTGCCTCAACTTCAGACTTTGTTATTGTTCTATTCAGGGTTTTGACTTCTTCCTGATATAGCCTTGGGAGGATGCAAGTGACCAAGAATTTATCTATTTCTTTCAGGTTTACTGGTTTATGTGCATAGAGTTGTTTCTAATAATCTCTGATGATGGTTTGTATTTCTGTGGAATCTGTGGTGATATCCCCTTTATCATTTTTTTATTGCATCAATTTGATTCTTCTCTCTTTTCTTTTTTATTAATCTGGCTAGTGGTCTATTTTGTTGATCTTTTCAAAAAACCAGCTCCTGGATTTATTGATTTTTTGAAGGGTTTTTTGTGTCTCTATCTCCTTCAGTTCTGCTCTGATCTTAGTTATTTCTTGTCTTCTGCTAGGTTTTGAGATTTTTTGATCTTGCTCCTCGAGCTCTTTCAATTTTGATGATAGGGTGTCGATTTTAGATCTTTCCTCACTTCTCATGTGGGCATTTATTGCTATAAATTTCCCTCTAGACACTGCTTTAAAGGTGTCTCAGAGATTCTGTTACATTGTTTTTTCATTCATGTTGGTTTCGAAGAACATCTTTATTTCTGCCTTCATTTCATTGTTTATCCAGTCAACATTCAAGAGCCAGTTGTTCAGTTTCCATGAAGCTGTGTGGTTCTGAGTTAGTTTCTGAATTCTGAGTTCTAACTTGATTGCACTGTGGTCTGAGAGACTGTTTGTTATGATTTCCGTTCTTTTGCATTTGCTGAGGAGTGATTTACTCCCAATTATGTGGTCAATTTTAGAGTATGTGCGATGTGGTGCTGCGAAGAATGTATATTCTGTGGATTTGGGGTGGAGAGTTCTGTAAATGTCTATTAGGTTTCCTTGGTCCAGGTCTGAGTTCAAGTCCTTGTTAATTTTCTGTCCTGTTGATCTAATATTGACAATGGGGTGTCAAGGTTTCCTACTATGATTGTGTGGGAGGCTAAGTCTCTTTGTAAGTCATTAAGAACTTGCTTTATGTATCTGGGTGCTCCTGTATTGGGTGCATATGTATTTAGAATTGTTAGCTCTTCCTGTTTTCTTGTTGCATTGATCCTTTACCATTATGTAATGTCCTTCTTTTTCTCTTTTGATCTTTGTTGCTTTAAAACCTATTTTATCAGAGATGAGAATTGCAACTCCTGCTTTTTTTTGCTCTCCATTTGCTTGGTATATCTTCCTGCATCCCTTTATTTTGAGCCTTTGAGTATCCTTGCATGTGAGATGGGTTTCCTGGATACAGCACACTGATGGGTTTTGGCTTTTTATCCAATTTGCCAGTCTGTGTCTTTTGATTGGGGCATTTAGTCCATTTACATTTAGGGATAATATTGTTATGTGTGAATTTGATACTGCCATTTTGATGCTAGCTGACTGTTTTGTTCTTTAGTTGATGCAGATTCTTGATTGTGTTGATGCTCTTTACCTTTTAGTATGTTTTTGGAGTGGCTGGTACTGGTTATTCCTTTATATGTTTAGTGCCTCTTTT